CTATGCGGAACGCCTGGAGGGTGGTGAGGGTACGAATCTCCACGGGGGGAGTTCGTTCCAGAGGGTCAGAGAAGGCTCTCCTCCGGGTAGTCGCCAGTCGACACTGGCCGGCGGATGGAATTCGGAGGAGGCCTAGTCTGTGGGATCTAATTGGTCTAGTGGAGGTAATTGGCAGCAGGCGGTCTCTCAAGTACCCAGGTCCAATACCATTTTGTGGGTGGCTGGCTTGGTAGGAGATCAAGATGATAGGTGAAGATCAAGATTGTCCCTGACCCTGTTTAATTTGTATCTCAAAAGATGTGCAACCAGTATCTTCAGTTTTTTTTTTTTTAAGTCTCCCCTGGGATAAAATTGTTAATGCAGAAATCAGGAGATGCTTAAGAATTTGGAGGTTGCCTCAGATTACTAGATTAATACATGCACTCCAGACAATATTACACTCTGTCCTATTCTCACAAAGTTTTTGGCTGAAATTTTGTATTATTCCATTCCTGCTAAAGAGCCTGGACAAGTTAACTCAAACTGCCCAGAAGCTTCAATGTGATCCCTCTACAGATAAAAACTTTTCTCAAACTCTTCACCAAGTGCCAAAATTGGATCGCGCACACGTACGCATGCCAGAAAATGGAAGAGCAGCCACCGGGCAGCTGCTCTTCTGGTTTTCGGTGCTCCCGTGTGCGTGAACACCAGCTGGTTGGTGCGCCAGAACCTTGAAGAGCAACGAGCGACAGCTCGTGTGCTGGGAGAGATGGCTCTGCGTGCCACTTCTGGCCATGGGTTCGCCATCATGGCCCTAGCCTCTTTTCAGATCACATTCATTTCATGAGTGAATGTCCCAAAGAGTTAGAGTTTAGGGTCTGGAGCACATCTCCATAGGTTGATAACGTAGCGAGATCAAAAACTTATCTTCACTGCTGATCAACAATCTTCAATTTTTGCCATACAAATAATTATTTGTAGGATTGTCCAAGAGATGTTTCTCAACAGATGGTAGCCATGAAGATGCAACCCACATAAAGAACCAGATAGAGTTTTGATCACATCATAACAACCATTAAGATGACTCTTTAGACCCTACTCCATGGACACCCTGGGACGTTTCTTTCTGGTCTTAATTTGTATGTCTTTCTTTTTCCATTAGAGTCAGACATGAGAAGACAGATACCATTCGCTGCATTAAATCCTGTCGACCAAGTGATGCCAACTGTATCTTAGACCCTGTTCACACGATTTCCCACACCGTTATCTCTCTGCCCACTTTCCGGGAATTTACGAGACCAGAAGGTAAAGTGTTTCCTTGCTCCGTAAAGTTATCCAGAGGGACATCACCTAGTATGGGGTGATGATGTTGGAAGTGATGATGGTTTTTAGGTATCTTGGATTCCTTACTACCCAATAAGACTGTGGAGCACATTGGTTAGGATTGGAAGTCTTTCTACTCCTAGATCTCTAGGAGGCACAAGATATTATTCCTATGTTATTACAAGGAACCTCCATCTTATCAGTGACACAAAAAAGGGATTCCTAAAATAGTCCTTCCTTTTAGCTTATCTGGGCCTGGCTGCTGATTAAGTTCCAGAATGAGATTCTGAAATCATGGGTTCCTTGTTGCATCAAGTTGCAGCCAGGGAGAAAAGGCCTTTTTCCCCAAACCAGTGGTGCCAATCTCCTGTCCTGTTGTTACTTTCTTTAAATAAATTGGTCCAATTGGCAACTGATAACTCCAGTCTTTGCAGCAGTTATTTTCCATTGCTGCTGTCTTCAGGTGACCCTCTTGCTTTCTCTCCTCAGAGATTATTTTCCTTCGTGCCATCACGCCAGCGTACCCGACCAATGAGGCTGACATCATATTTGATATAACTGAAGGAAATTTACGGGATTCTTTTGACATCATCAAGCGCTATGCAGATGGCATGACTGTGGGTAAGGCATACCTCTTCAATGCTCCATTCACCCATCCAACCATCCATCCATCTATTCACCTACCCATCCATCCACCCATCCATTTGTCCACCTACCCACCCACCACCCATCCATCCATTCATCCATCCACCCATCCATTTGTCCACCTACCCACCCACTCACCCACCACCCATCCATCCATTCATCCATCCATCCATCCATCCACCCACCCACCCACCTATCCATTTGTCCACTTACCCACCCACCACCCACCCACCCATCCATCCACCCATCCATTTGTCCACCTACCCACCCACCATCCATCCATCCATCCATCCATCCATCCATCCATCCATCCATCCACTAGTATTTCAGATAAGTGACTATTTAGTTTCTTCTTAAAAACCTCCAGTGATGCAGAGCCCACGATTTCTGAAGGCAAGCTATTCCACTGGTTAATTGTCCTCCCTGTTAGGGAAGTTTCTCCTTAATTCCAAGTTGCTTCTCTCTTTAGTTAATTTCCAACCATTGTTTCTTGTCCTGCCTTCTGGTGCTTTGTAGAATAATCTGACCCCCCCCCCTCTTCTTTGTAGCAGCCCCTCAAATACTGGAATACTGCTGTCATGTCATTCTTCTTTTCTTTAGACTAGCCAGACCCAAAACCTTCAGCTGTTCTTCATATGGTTTAATTTCCAG